CGGGCAGGTGCCGGGCAGGCCCGGGGGAGGTTCCTCCTCGCAAGAGGTACGGACCGTCAGCACCTCTGATCCGCGCAGCGCCCTGAGGAGAATCTGCCCTGCTGTCCTCTGAGGAGGCGCTGGGTAGTACCTGGTCCCAGCCCTAGGTGGGATCAGTCTGTTGGGTCTGTACGGTCAGTGTGAAAATCGGCGATTTCTAATTGTTCGTGCTCCCGAGTCTGTATTCCTACAATGTTCTTCCCTGCTGCTCGGAAGAAAGAGGATTGGTATGCTGTCCGCTTTTCTTCACTGTTCCCTCCAGATCTCAAGCCCACATGGAATAGCATCGAGAATATATCCATCTTTGCTGTGTAGTATCAATCTGGTTATTTTCAAGTACATAGTATGCTTTTCTTGATTGGCATCTTCTATTTGTGTATCGCAGCTTATTTACAATGAAAATGGAATTAGAGCTGTGTGAATTATTAACCAAAGGGATGTAAAAGCAAGTTGCCTTGTGATGTGGAAGGTCTGCGTCCCCATTCTGTAGAAGGCATTTGAAGAAAATACTGCTGGTTTCCTTTGCCAGGATATGGCTAGGACAAATGTAGCAAAGACTGGGAGGTACCTGGGTACCTGCGTGATGGTGGGATGCTGCAATATTTTCCCCCCACAACAAAAAAGGCACCCCCCCAAAAAAAATGCCCTGCATCTCTCTGCAAACAGGTGAATAGGTAAGGAACCCCTTGGGGGACTGAAAGTGGTGATTGAAATGGCTGCTAAGGGGTAGGAGATGCAGAGGTTGTGCTGTTTGCTCATTGCTGCAGCAGCCACCCAGAAGGCAAAGTTGTTGAGGAATACTCAGCACCAAAAATAGAGCAGATTGCCGAAGTAGGAAATAGCTCCTTTTCCTGTGGAAAGAACGAACCCAATGGAACAATGCACGGGCTTGTTTGAAGAAGGCCTTGGGTTGATGTGGTGATTCCATTGTAGGTTCTGCTCTTTGTTAAAGTAGTGTAAGCCTTGTAGAACCATTCTAGAGACCTGTTCTTATAAATTAAATTAAGCCCCTTAATTATGTAGTAGTATACCAGGAGAATTATTTGCATGTGTATGTGGGGGAGGTTGTTTCTGCTTTCCGCAGGGAGGTGAAAATGGGTGTTGTGTAAGAGCTTAGGCATTTTTCAGGGTATTATGGTCTCTACAACACAAGTATATTAAAAAGGGTTTGGTTTTGTCCATGTTAGTACATTCTTCTAGAGCACAAGGTTACTCACCCAGCAGGTAAAGTCTTCAATCACTTAAAAGAACATTCTTGCATTCATCCATAACATTTTTGTGTGTTTAATGGAGAGTCTGGTGCTGTAGTACACAGCACAGTTACAAATACTGGACTATTTTGGTGTGCAGTATCAATAATATCCTTAGTAACCCTGCTTGTTTTGAGATCCTGTTACTGCTTCTGTAGAAATAATAGAAGTGAAGTCCCGAAAGACATAATGCTATTGAATTTCTTGCCATGTTTTAATCTTTGCATGAGGCCCACCTGCACCTTGTTTTCTAGCTGTGCTCTTACACAGAGGAAAGGCAATAATTCCTCTCTTTAATGTTTTCCAGGTTATTCAGAATTAATTCTCATGTCAGCAGAAAGCTCAACCATCACAGTTCGTCTTGTTCGCTCTTTTGAACACCGGAATTTCAGACCTGTGGTGTATCATGGCGTTAACTTGGATCAGACAGTAAAGCAGTTCATTACTTTTGTGCAGAAGGGTAAGAGGTTGTCTTGTTCATTCGTTTCAGTCCCATGTGTTGCTGTCTCTGCAGAAGGAAGTGGAGGGCAGCAAATGAATGGGAATTCTGCGGCTTTGGTAGAGATGCCAGATTTGTGTTTACCTCCCCTGTGCGCTCTCCTCCCTTGGATGAGAGGTCTGGAGTTAATAAGAGCTTCCATGGTCAGTGTGCCATGCCTAAATTTGGATGGACTGCTCCCCCTGCCCAAATCCCCATGTTTAGTCAAAAAGAGATGAGGGCATTGCTGCATTTGGCTCAGTGCCTCAGGCTCCTTGAGTGGTGCTGTCAGGCAGCTATTCATGAATTAACAGGAGTAAATTAATAGAATATAGAGAGCCTTTGATCCTTAGGAACTACACCAGTATGTGGAATGTGGGAATGCAAGTCTGCTGTTTGTGAGAAGAGAGCATCTTGAAAAATTGTTTTTGACACTGTGAGGTCTCACTGTGCATGTTTGCTTCTGAGTTTCTGTCTCCATCTTGAGCTTTGTCATGCAGATTTACTCATCTATGGGTTTTATGTTTTAGAAGCCTGGTTGAAAGTGGCAGTGTATATAAAAGTTAATTAATGTACATCAGCCCACACAGTGACTCAGTAGTTAGGGTGGGACCCTGATCTTGCAGGTGTATTTCCACACACCTAAATGGAGACATTCAAAGGATGCAGAATAACATAATTTGGGTTGGTTTTGGTTTTTTTTTTTTTTTTTGCAGGAAGTCAGCTTAAACAAGTCTCGAACTGTTATAGCTGATAACTTTTGAGCAACTCCTAGGACATTGCCCAGGGCCTCACAGCTGTATTGTGTTTTCAGCAACTTTCATACTTCTAGACAGTGATGGGCATGGCAAGATCTTGGGATGCTTTTAGAAAACTACGAGTGCTTTCAGAACATATGGTACAGCTGCTGTTATGAAGAATAAAATAAAAAACAGTGCTAAGAAATTTGCTTTGACAGGTGCAGTATTGCAACTCACTGTTATTTGAGACAAAGCTAGTGTCTTGAACAAGACTTTTTGTAATCTCATTCCACAGATGGATAGTGCTGTTCTGGGTCCAAAAGCCGTGTTCCTTCCTTTACTGTAAAGTGTTTTGAAGGGGAGTTTGAGATAAATTGTTGATCAAATTATGGTTTCAGCACCCCACAAGTGGCCGGGCCTTCCAAGGCCCTGGTTAAATCCCTGGGTGTCACTGGGAACACTGGCACCAGAGAAGGTGTTAATGTTCTTGCAGTTGCTTATGGGCTGTGTACTGCATGCAGCTACAGAGTTAATTTTCTACAGTTTGGCTTCCTTTTTGTGGCTGGTCTGCATGGCTGTGTTTACTGAACAATTCAGTTATGAATGACAGTTGTCAGCTGTTTGTATAAGGTAGAGAGAGATGTTGTGCAAACCATTAACAGGATGTTCCTGGCAGGTTTCTGAAGGATCAGGCTCCTGTGATCAGATCCTAATTGCATTGACTCACTGCCCTCATTGATCGTTTTGTTCAGAGGCACTTCTTGCTCAAGTGAAGTTAATCAGATATGGAGTAACTATAGAATCTGAGCCAAAGGTTGTGTTTTAGTATTTGATGCTCAAACCAGTCTCCTGTGTTGTGGATTTATTTTGATGTAAAGGATGTCTGGGATGGATGCATGAAATAATGGAAAATAAAATAGTGGGAATAAAAAAAAAGACAATTTTGCTTTAACTTAGTGCTTTTATTTTAATAGATGTGCCTTCAAGAGCAGGACTTCCTCCTCCTTTCAAAAATTACAAGTATGGTATGTGGGGTTTTTTTGTTTTAATTCCCATAAAATGCAGACATAATGTTTTATAGCAGTTTCTATACAATATAGAAGAAAACTGCTATGGAACACTCGTAGTGGTGGCACTGCCTGCCTACATTTGCAATTCTATTCCGCATTTATAGCTGGGGTTATGCCACTGGGATCACGTTTACAGAACTTGACCATTATTTCGAAGTTCTGTATTAATCTTTGAATTAGGCTGCATGTTATACATTATTTGCTAATTGCTGTCGATGGTTTTTGGTATTAATTTTTTATTACTTTTTTAAGTGCCTTTTAACTCTGTCTCATAAGCAGCTTGTGATCTCAGCCACTTTGAAATTGTACTTCTCTATGTGCTTATGTATTTCAGTATCTGTTTACTAATTGTGAAGTCAGAAAGGAAGGTGAAGCGGGAGCTGAAGACAGTAAATAGAAAGTGCTGAAGACTTTTATGTTTAAATAATTTACATGATATAAGAGAAGCAGGGGAATTTTGCTCAAAGTAGATATGAAAGCTCTTAAATACAAGCTGACCGAATGAAATAATCTGGTGTGAAATTTAGGCTGACTTTATCCGCTAATGTAAAGCTATGTGTATATTGCCTTTTTGTGAAGATTGGTATCAACGTGTGAAATTCATCTGTTTGGGACAGAATATACTTTCAAAATTGACTAAATTACTTCCTTTCTTGGAGTTTAACTCAGATGTCAGTAACATATCTTTTCCTAAACTTGGCAATTCTGAAAGTTCCCTTGGAGTTTTGCTGCAAGTGATTCTCTGTCTCCCATGTTCTTGGAGTTGACAAACTCCTCTACAGTGATTCAAAGAACTGAATGAGGAACCTACTTAATACACATGAATGGTAATAGACTCTATTTGCCTATTAAAAAAAAAAAAGCCAAGTATTTGATTCTGTATTCTTGCTGATGGTAAAATAGATAGTGCAAAATGAAAGCAGAAAAATATTTAGGGATTAAGATTTACGATACATCAGTGGCAAGGACATGAATATTGTTATTATTTGTAATATACTATTTAAAGTCTTGAAATCTAAGTAAGTCTAAGTTTGAATTTGCCCTTCTCCCCCTAATATCTGTGGCTTTGGCTAGGTGAGGGATCCTATCTAGGACTGCTGCTATCACTTGTATTCCTGGTGCTGCCTATCCCTGCTACTAGTTCTTTCATCACTTAGAACATCAGTTTTTCCCAAGGCATATGTTGTGGCTGAGCACCTGATTGTGCTGTGTAGGACTGAGCATAATGTGGGTGAGAAACACTACAGACCTTTAAAACCTGTTACACCAGTTAGTGGGAGCCTACTTTTAGTGGGATGGTGCTAGCTGCATGGAAATTTTCACACAGAAAAATCAAAGCCAAGTTCCTCACCTTCCCCTCAGGCTGTGAATCATCGAGGTTCATGTTTTTGGCATCTTGTGTGTGCTCTACTGTCATGTATTTTGGTGATGAAAGGGCAGTGAAACTTCTGCATGAATAATGCTAATTAAGAGTCAGATTTTTCCTTCTGCTTTGTTTGGCAATGCCAGAAATCTCAGTTGGACCTGGCTGTCTCTCACCTTGTGCCTCTTTCGGCTTCCTTCTCTCCAAAATCCAGCACCACTTTGTTCTCTCATCATCATATATATAATGCCATCACGTTTTTCCTCTTGGCTTGGTGCTCTAACTCACATCTCAAAGCTTATGACTTTCATTTTCTCTTCATTCTTTGTACATTTAATTCTTGTCCTGGTCTAGAACTCTTCTCAGTAAATCTTCTCATCTTCCTACCCTGTCATTGCCATCTTTTCACTGATGATTGCAGCCTGGGTGCCAACTTATCTTATAAACTGCCTCTCTATTTATTTTTTTCCTCCATGAATGTGGAGCAATATGGTAGATACTTTACCATATCAGACTTAGAAAGTGATTTCTTATCTGTTGTCACGTAAGATCTATTACCAGAAAAGGAAAGGTAAAAATCTGAGAATATGATTGAGCGGGACTAAATTGGGATGAAATAGCAAAGGCAATTGAGAGGACATAAGGCTTTTTAGCCAGGATGCAAAGACACTGTGGTTTCATCTCTGTAGCAGAGTTAGGGAAGTCATTTAATAGCTCAGATAGAGACACAGTAAACTGCTGGATGCTAGAGGTGGAGTTTCGAAGAAGTAAATTTGAGACAATAGTTCAGAGAATGACTCGACAAAGACTAGAGAAAAGAGGATGTGACAAAGTAGATGGAGAAGCTTAAAACTAACAGGCAGTGGCTGGATTGTATTTGCTGTGGTAGAAAGGTTTCATGATTGCAGTATATTTTTGCTGTGATTGCTTGGTCTTTTTGCAATGCTTCTATGCAAGATGGATCTGGGAACTGCAATTTAATATGTGGCTTGCTTCTAATACTGCAATTAGTACAGCATGCTAAGACAGCCTTTCCAGTGACCTCTGCAGTGGGAATACAGGGTAGATTTGAACTTCTGTAATATTTTAAATAAAATGTTCAAAGTGCGCCAGGGTGGTATGGAAACAGACTTCTGAACGAGAATGTGATCTCTGTTATTCTGAACATCTCAATACTTGCTCTCAGTAGCTTGAAAGTTGTTTTAGCATATATTTAACTTTCTTGCATTCTTCTCTTACCAGACTATTTAAACATGTAGTGTTCAGTTAATGCACAAAACCAAACTAGAACAGAAGATGAGCAGGCAAACAGAACTGGCTTTTGCTTCTTTGCTGGGAAGGGATTGATGTGTTATTCTGCATCTGTTCAAACACACTTTGGAGTTTGGGGTTTTTTTAGTGCTGCATGGGCATCTTCAGACTTCCATTGCCTCTGCATCTTTGCACTCATCTGGTTGCTTTAGTTACCACATTATTTCCCCTGTTTTTCCCTTCTGTTAACAAAGCCCAGCCCACGTTACCAGAGGAAAGTGATTTTTTTTTTGTATAGCATAATTTCTTAAAGTGCTACACTGCACAAACATGAGAGGTAAACATTACTGAAGAGGGTATAGCATTAAAAAAAGGAGAGGCTGTACATGTTCATGGAAAATGGACTTAATAAAATTTCTGCCCTGGGTGCTTTCTTTGTGAGAAGGAAAATTTCAAGGAATGATCTAAAGTGGTCAGATTACTGTGTCTTAATCACTTGCTGCCTACTAACTTAACTTTAGTAGTTGACAGTGCATAAATGCTGTTTGTCCTGCCCCAATTGCATGTGTAAAACCTGTTAGGTTAAAACACCCTAACTGGCATTTAAATTGATGTGTTTTGACTGGCAATTGGGATGGTCATTAGTTAGTTATTGTTATTCACCAGCAGACAGAAGCCCAATAGGACGTGATACTTTAATATTGGATTGACTGGTTTAAGACTGTGGCTGCAGGACTGGGAAATGAAGAATTTTTCTCCCCTTTTAGACTCAATACACAAAATTGTTAATAATAAAAGATTTTGAACTTTACTCCTTTGTTTGTCTCTCCTTCCCCAAGTACAACTTTCAGTGTTACCTGCCTTTTAAGCCTTATTTTAGGAAAACGTTGTATTTTCTTTCAGATACAATGAAGATTATTCACCAAGCACACAAATCTAAGGTATGATTATTAGCTGTGTTCTTCCCCTTTTGCATGCTTTAATGCAGGCAGATCTCTGTGCTGTCAAACAAGACATTCTTATTCTTATCTTTGTATTCTGGTTCTCTGATTTGTAGACTGGTGAACTTGTAGTGAGTTTGGAAGACGATGACAAACTGATTTTGAAAGAAGACAGTACGCTGAAAGCAGCTGGAGTAGGTAGGAGCACATTTATATTGACTGAAGGTGGTGTTCATTGTGGTTGTCATTAAACTGATAACTGGCTGATTATGTTTGGATAGCCTGCTGAAAAGTAAATGCTATTCCTGATGCTCTTTACACTGCTTGATAATTATTCAGGGAAGAAGGGGGGATAATGTACATTCAAATCATTGGGCTGAGGGCAGCAGGTATCTGCACTTCAAATGTTCAGAATGCAAATTGTGATTTTTAGAGGGTAGGCTTATAATTCTGCTGAGAGTAATTTTAAATGATTGACAGATAGGTTATTAGTACTGCGTCTGCTTAGTCTTATCAGTAACATTTAAACTGATGTTTTGGTTAGAAATGTAAGTAGTGGAACCAGCATGGAATAATGAAATAAGATTAGATTTGTTTAATGTGCAGCATACAGTGCCTGATAGCCAGATTGCTCAGGAAAGCTCCAGCAGTATCATTTAGAGAATGTGCTGAACATAGCAAAGAGTTGAAACTTGACCCGATTTCTCACATTTTGACAGGGAACTACATATAGGGCATGTCTTTTGGTAATGTAAAGAAATGTCTGTCATGATAAAATTGATGGTCCCTGGATGTCCTTTGGGCTTCTCATAAATGTGGCTGAATGACTTTGTGGCAGCAGGGTACTTAAGGGATGTAGTTGCATTCCACCTTGATAGGGACATTTGCTCATTTGAATCTGATTTGCCTAGCTGGAACGCATAACTGCCTATGCTGTAAGTGCAGGGGTTTCACACAGAAAGCTCCCTCCTGATGCCCTCTGATTGCTCCCCAGCTAGTGAATGGGATTGCTTTCTCATAGGTTTCTTGGATCTTTTGTTTCCTGCCGTTTGCTTTCTGGTTTTAAGTGACTTGGGATGTCTCTTTAACGTTTTTCTCTGGGGTGCAGTACTACTGGCCTCG